GTGCGATGGCAAGTGCATGTTGACATGATCGGCACACGCATTGCACCCCCATCCCCCTGATGGTGGTTGCACGGCACGTGCGTCAGGATGTCTGGGGATTGTCGGGTCATCCGAGTCAAACCCGTGCGCACTGGTGACAAGAACAGATGATGCATGAGGATGAGTATAGAAAGGAACGCGTTTTGACCGCGAACATATCATGTGCAATTGTGCTGCTTGGCAAATTCCGTTGCAAACGGAAGGGTGTTGATGGTGGCCAGTGCGAAGCGCGTTGTCAAATAATATCAGTAGTGAACGGTGGTTGGCCATTATTTCAAGTAGCTTTACGTATCAGTACCCCATGGGAGTCACGAGGCCGCGTAGTGCAATGGCCCACGTTGACCTTGCGAGCGCCCTCTCGTTTAGCAAGTGCCGTCCATGGCGGCATTTCATCCACCAACGCGCCCACTGGTTGTTCTCGCCGGAGATCGTCCCGACGTGCGGGGGCCCTTTCGCAAAACCTACTGCGTGGAAGGTATTCCTTGAGATGTCCATGCCACGCGTGGTAGTTGACCTTTGTTTGGCGATAGGATGGTAGTCCAGTGGTCCTGCACTTGGGTTGGAGATTCCCACCTTCGCAAAACATGTCTAAGTAGTGCGGCGCTGCATCCTGGGTTTCCTTGTTACCAGGGTCGGCGAAACAACGTTAGTCGATATTACCCCCATCAGGGAAGACCTCGGCTGAATGCGAACTGTCAGATTCGATTGTCGCCTCCGCATAGTTCCAGCATGTCTACCTCATTGTCTCGTCCTGAACATAAGATTGGCATTGTGGAAAAGACACCGCCATGTGTATCAAGCATGTAGCCCCGCTGGCAGTGTCATGAAGGCCCCCTCATCTTCATCGCTGTCGGAGTATCGAGGAACATCGGTGTAGCATGCTCCACATCGAAGACCCTTTAGGTCCTCGCCGCAATCGCCACTGCCGTCTTCGACCTGTTTGGGTATCTTGCGTGGTTTGATGCCGTCTGCTTTGTCAAATTTCTGCGCACTCACAGACGGCGCCGGGGGGAAAAAACAAGCAGGTGTCCCCGCATCCGTAGACGGAACCTAAGGTGTCGGTCTGTCAGCGCAAAACAGCGCTGCCGCGGCGCCCGCCTTCCCCCGTCGCACTCTCTCTCTCTCTCTCTCTCTCTCTCTCTCTCTCTCTCTCTCTCTCTCTCTCTCTTTCTCTTTTTTTTTTTTGTTTTCTCTCTCTCTCTCTCTCTCGAACGAAGGCGGTGTCCACGTCGCCGCCTGGCTCGGGTTCGTGTCCGGGCTGTAGCCCGCAGGGCCATCTGTTGAGATCGGCGTCAAACTGCTCGAAGTGACGATATCATGTCTCGACAGCTATTGCCGCACCGCTCGCAGCAGCAGGTTGCCCCGCAGCAGCAGGCTGCCCCGCGCTAACCTCACGCGGCATCCACTTTGTGCCTTCGCCGTGGACGGCGCGGTGCACGTTCGCCTGCAGCTCCCTCAAGTTAAAGTCCTGATCTGAAGGCGTAAGCTTAGTTCCCTGTGGGGTATTCCTCTGGTGCCAGGTCGTCAACGCGTTGTCCATCATGGTATTAATCGCGGACGTCAACGCGCCCTCGTCGATGATGTGGCTGATGCCCCTGGCGTTCTGCGCCATCATGTACGCATGGGCATCCGCGAAAGCAGGTTGCCCCGCGCTACTTGACGCAGGCTCCCCCGCTATGGGCGCCGTGTCGATGGTCTCCTCGATGGCGCGGCGCAAGGGCGCACCCTCGCGTTGGGCGCGGCCGCGAGGGTGAACGCCGTAGTTCCATCGGCCTCTGTCGCCCCGTCCCACTCATCGACCTTGATCGCCGGGTGTCCTGATGGCGTCTTCACCAAATGAATCACCCAGGCGCACTTTCCAAGGAAAGACCTGTACATGCCAGCGTCTGGGATGCCCTTCTTCTCGTTGCCGCTCTCCAAAATCAAGATGGCACGCATGTTCGACATGCTCCTCAGGCCCATAATTGCGGGCAGATTCTCACCAGACCCCTTACCCACGTTAGCTGAGTAGGTGCCCGATTTTGCAGCGGCAGGTTGCCCCGCAGGGTGCACCCCTGCACGCGCCGGCGATCTTGCAGCGGCCTGGCGCCCTGCACGCTGCAGCTCCAGAACCCACCCACCCCCAATCACGCAATGGCCTGCCTCAAGCTCAACCTCCTTATGTCGTGACCGCGTGCGCGCGAGACCCGCTCAAACGTCTGCGCAGCCTTGAGACCGATGATGTTGATGTCGCTGCAGGTGCCCAGCAAGATAGACAGTGTGCCATCGAACATGTTCCGCTATTTTGCCACTAAAGCCAACTCGTGGCGATCGCCAGAGTAGCCCTGGACTGTGGTCACGGTCGTGCCGTGCATACCCTTCAAGCACCTGTGGTCCAATACCCATCCATTCTTACGCATGGACGTGCATGCACTCATGTAGGCTCGTGACTCTTCCTCTGTAATCGGATATTGCTGGAAGTTCCAATCATCTGGGCACTCGCCCATCGAGGCGATTACTGTTTCACTGGGGCGTCATGAAAAGTATTCTCGTCGGCGCGTGCCGTCATCTGGCCATCGGCGTTGGCCATCATCACTCTCTGTAGCACGTCGCGTTCAGAAATAGCACTGGCGCAACTGCGCACGCTGACCGGACTGTCAGCGCGGCGCTGGCGTAGCGGGTTACTCCGCATCCTGCCGCAAGGCGCGTTGGTCCTTTCCACGCGCCTCAGCCGCGCTTCATTAGCAGGTCGCCCCGCAGTTGTGGCAGCTGACGTGGTGTCTGCAGCTGGCTCAGCTATCAGCGGCAATCTGCGAGTCTGCGGCTGGCATCACAGCTGCTGGTTCCGGCCGCGCATATGACGGGCGCATTGCCGTTGGCAACGGCGCGGCATGTGCAGCAAGTGGCCCTGCAAGTAACGCAAGTGACCCCGCTGGCGCTGCGGGCGCGGCCATGAAAGCCGTGACCCCCAGCTCGTTCGCCCCTCGGAGCATTTGCTGGCGTCGTTGTTCGGCGTCTCGTCTACCCGCAAATGCGTGACGGAACTCAGCTGTGATCGGTCCGATGCCACGGCGCACAACACATGGTGCCTCATTACGGGCTCCTTCGGTCTGCGGGCCGACATGCGACTGGGGCACTCTGTCCCAGCAGACTGCGTGGGATATGTGGCCGTACTGGAGCCCCCGCACCCTGCCGCGGTACTCGAACTCCTCAAGGCAAATCGCATCGCACACTTCGTGAAGTCATCGTCGTTGATGATTGGTGGTGTGGCCGTTGGCCTCGCGCGCCTCTGCCGCTCGAACGTGGCCTCGCCCATCCCATAGCGGCTTGGCGGCGCTGCTGGGCCCAACTGAATTGGAACTGATTACCCCGCAGCCACCAACCCCGAAGCAGCTTGCCCCGCACCATGACCCATCCTGTGACGCGCCTGTCGTGACTGACTGCGCTGCTGTCGTGCATGTTGAGCTCAGAGGTTCGCCTGCTGCGTTTCGTGCATGGCCCAATGTCTCAAGACGAAGCGCTCCCAGTGACAGCGGGATCGTCAGCTCTGGACCATGTGCGGTGACATCCTGGTCCAATGTGATGGCGCCAAGTACCCGTAGTGTGGTAATCTGCCCAGGGACACCTGACTCGCGCGCGCGCCGCCCTGGGAATGCCGGCGCGGGCGCGGCCGCGTGGAGCGAGCCCGGGACGTCGCCGCGCGCGCGGGCCCCCCCTGCGGCAGCTGGCAATGGTCTCGCCGACAGGGCGCCTGCACTTACGCTCATTCGCCGTGAATACAAAACGCTAACATCTAAAATCCATAATTGTGGGGGCTGGGGTCGGTGTCCCACTGTTCATGGAATGCTCTGCGTACGTCGCGTGGTCACTGTACTGAGCCTGCAATTGCACGATCGTCTGGAAGACTGCCCGGCTGGCGGGCTGGCGGGATCCCGTAGGGATCCCATGCTGCCCGGCTGGCGGGTCGGGTCCCGGGGTGCGGCGTTCGTTACCTTGAGGGCTTGAGAACGCAGTTCCTATGCTCCCCACTGCGCCCCAGCTTGGCACCAGCGACGCAGTCGCTGGATGTATCTTCTTTCCTTGCTTCCCCCAGGGGTCTCGAGAAGCAATCCCAAACAGCTCGGGGCCTTGTTCTGACTCCGCCGATGTGACGCTGCGTCGAACAACTGTCTAACACCTGGCGCTGAAGCCACCCCCACGGGCGGGGGCTCTGACGGTTTGGGGCTCGCGCGCTGCCTGGGCACATTCCAAGCATGCTCGGGATGGGTCGCATAGCGGTCCTTGCAGATCATGGTGGTGCTGTTTTTGGTGAAGTACTGGTTGTGCACGCTCGCGGTCGCAGGTCCTGGATAATGGGCTGGTAGAGCCCCGACAGACAATAGAGTCACATATCTTGCCAAAGCGAAGGGGAGGAAGTGCACGAAGGCGGAGATGTTGAAGGAAATTGATCGAAGTCGAAGGCGGCGGAGGGTGGAAACCATTGCGGTCGACGCGACGCGAAGCATAGCGGCCGTGGTGGGAACACGGGGGAATCTGCTCCGCTACCAACTAGAAATGAGGACGTCGAGGTGAAAAGGCGTACCTTTCAGCACCGCGAAATATCAGGCGGATGGTACAAGGCGCGTATAAGATTTGCACGAGAGCACTGCAGGCTCCCGTACCCCAGGGCCAAAAAGGCAGCGGACAGGCTGGGTTAGAAGCAGGCAGGGCAATAGGAAGAGAACAGACCTACCGTTCGATTGGGGGGAGAAGGAGGAGGAGAATGAGGAGGAGAAAAAAGATGAGAGGAAGTCGGAGGAGCAGGGAAGAGAGGGAGGAAGGGATGATGATGACGATGCTGCTGATGATGATGATAGTCATGATGATGATGCTGCTGCTGCTGATGATGATGATGATGATGATGATGCTGATGCTGATGTTGATGATGATGAGGAGGAGGAGAGAAAGCCTCGAAGCGCAGAGGGGCGGCCGGGCTGAGAGTCCATACTGCTCCGCAACCGCACGGACGTGGTAGGCGCCCGCGATCGCGCCCGCGACGCACGCGTGGCAGTCGGTGTTGTCGAGGCCCTGTGGGCGGACTAAGGGTCCGCGCCAGGGGTCTGGGTGGGGGATCGAGCGAGCACGCCGACGGCACCGAGGCTGGCCCGCCAGCGCGAGGCGCGGCGGCGCCTCAGCGACGGGGAGGGGGGGGACGCCACTGGGAACAGATGCAGTCACTGCCGCTGCGATGGCATGGCAAAGCCCGAGGGGTTTCAGTGCGAGGTGGGGTTGGAGAGCGGGGGAAAGGGAAGGCACATGTGAGTGGACACAAATATGAGACAGAGGGTGGATACGACAAAGCTACTTCTGCGGAGGTTCTTGGCAACTGCATCTCTGGACTCTCAGAACACGGGGACTGGTGCCAAGAAGAGCAGTCATCCGAGTGCATGGGGGGCAGCGGCCTCGTAATGCCCCGTGGCTCGTGTGTGGCCAAAGTGGGGTCCGCGTTGTGTATGTCGTTGGAATTGTCGTGGCCCCGTGATCCAACCACGACCCTCGCTCAACACACGACCCGCCCCTCGCCCCAGAGACCCAACCGAGACCCGCTCCATCGACCCACTCGCGTGCCCCCCTCCCCGCGACCCGCCCCGAGGCCACCCACACTGCCCAAGGGAAGTGCGGCGCCCCCGCGGCGGCGACGTCCCGCGCCCGTCGTAACCCGAGCCCTCACCGTTTGCCCACAACTGCGGGGGCCAATGCGAGCGACCAACCCAATCAGTTGCCCGTGTGTCGCACGCTGGAAAATACCGGGACGGTGGTGGTGGAGTTAAGGCAATGCGATTATCGCTGTGCTCTACTCTCTTTGCTGTGTTTTCTGCCCGGTGGTCCCCATCATTATCCATTATCTATTCGATACTCTCAGGCGATATTTGCTTGAGGCTTCTTGAGAGGAGGGAGGAGCGAAGAGGGAGCGTGGATAAGGGAAGGACAGAAGGGAGGGACAGAAGGGATGAGCAGGGGGAGGACGACAGATATGAAGGAGGGAAGCCGGCCAGCATGGAAGAGGGGGAAGCAGAGGAAGCGAAGTGGAATGACGATCAGATAATGGCAGGAGGAGCGGGAGGAGAAAAGGGAGGAAGGGGGGGAGGAATGGAAGGAGGGAGGAGGGGGGAGGAGGGGGGAGAGAGCAGAACAGGGGGATCAAAGGGGGAGGATGCCGGGGGTGACAGGTGCAAGTGCCGATGGCTAGAGGTAGACAGTAGCCTCAGGACTACTGCGCTCATAAAGGAGAACAAATCAGGAGTGAGGAGGAGAAATGTGAGGCGGAGTGAATTGATACTGTGGGGCGTGCTAAGTGCGTGCGAGGGCGGATGAGTTGGGAGAGGTGAGGACGTGCTTGTATCAGATGCAGTCGTAGCAGTAGCCACAATTCAAGTTCGCATGATGGTGTGAAGAGAAAATGAATAGGGAATGACAAGAAGGCGAAGAAGGAGGAAGCTATGGAAAAGAAGGCAGAGGAGTGGGATTGCGACGATGAAGGATGGGGACAAAAAAGGAACACTCGGTCAAGGGTTGGTTCGTCCGCAACGATGTGCTATCCAGTGAGCATCAGAAGCCTGTATGCTGCCAAAACGGTTCGGCGAGCTGCTGTTGGATACTGCTGAAAAATGGAAGGTGGACGGGAATAAGGGAGAAATGGAGGAGGGTCAGAACAATAGGGAGGAGGAGGAACAAGAGAACGGCAGAGACGAGGGTGAGGAACGGCAGGACAGAAGAGGGAGGACGGTGATAAAGAGGGGGGCAAGAAATGGAAAGACCGGGGCGAAGAGGATACAGTGAACAGTAGGGAGGGGAGAGGAGGAGGACAAAGAGGAAGAGGGCCAGGAATACGGGCCAGGGGGCAGGGCAAGCAGGGCACTGGAGCGGGAGGAAGGACGAGGGCGACGTGCAGACGCGGGCGCCCGCGCCACCGCGGGCCTTGCCAGCGTAGAATTGGGAACCGCCGGAGGAGAACTGGATGATGATGGGGGAATCCGCCTGGCCGGGTGATGGTGGTGGTGTTGATGGTGATGATGATGATGATGATGATGATGATGATGATGATGCTGATGTTGATGTAAATGACGAAGGTGACGAAGACGATGATGGCGATGATGACGACGACGATGGTGATGAGGATGATCATGGCACCTCGCACGCAGCGTCAAGCCGTGCACAATGGTACCAGCGAGGTCATGCACTACAACAGGATATTACCGCGCCTGCCACACCGGCCGCGACAACTGCCGCAGCGTGAGAGAAGCAACTCGCCAGAGCAGCGCAGCTCAGAGACGCCACAGCCTCTGGATACTCTAGACACGAACAAGCATCAGCTGGACGGGTACAGCCGCCGAGCACGAAACTCCACGGACCATTACCCTCCAGAGACGACGCTCGCAAGATGAACCAGGGCGTCAAAATCGTTGCCTGCACCCCGGAGCCCGCTTCAGCTATCAGTGGTCGCGGGCGTGACGACACGCCTCCAGCGAAGGCTCTTGCAGAGGGCATGCACCACCAGCTCGGCATCAGCGGCGCACGGTAGGCGCGAGCGCCCAAGCTGCGGTAAACCGACGAACGGCCATGGCTTGAAACCTGCCTCGAATCACAGCTAAGGCGGTGATGATGGTTGTGATGTTGCTGTCGATGCTAATGACACCGACGGTGACGACGACGATGATGATGATGATGATGATGATGATGATGATGATGATGATAATGGTTGTGCTGCTGATGATGATTTGTTCCTCGGCGTCAGGACGAAACTGCAGCTACGAAAATAGAAAGTATGCGGCCTCATCTTCGGGCGTCAGCACAAACGGCGCGGCGACATGTGCCTTGCACGCGTGGCACTCCTGGGACGCTTTCGCCAGAACACGGTCCATCAGGAAACGTTGCGGGCCTTCTGCTGACGTGCTGGGCTGTGGGACCTCTGGGAGGCCTCGTCGGGAGGCCCCCTCGCCGATTGGCCGCCGGAACGACGGCGCCCAGCGAGTTCCAGGACGCACTCTCCGAAGTCGAAAGAGGGAAGGCGAGGGCTTCGACGTAAGGCTTGCCTGCGGTGACTCGCAGTGGTGCGCCTCTGGAGGGTCTCTCTGGGAAGCCGCCAGGGGAGCCCTGGCCATCGCTCGGACGTCCATTCCCTGTGTTTTTGTTCGGTGTCGTGCGGGTTTTTTTCGCCAAATGGTCAAGGATGCTCCTCGATGGTCCTCGCCGGAGGAAAAATGCACACGCCCGAGCGATGCCAGGAGCCTCTTGGGGGGCGCTGGGCTCTCCCGGGGCGCTGGTGGTCCGGTTCGCGCCCTGCGGAGCCATTTCGGAGGGCGCTCTGGGCCGTTATAGGGGGGCTCTCTCGGAGCCCACCGAGGCAGACGCCCACGGGGCAAGGGGTGGCGAGGAGAGAGCATGCCGAGAACAATGACGAGCAGAAGCAGCAAGGAAACGCCGACGGGGAGCTGGCTGGACGAAGGAGGAACAGGGGGTCGCAAAGCAGCAATGGAAGGAAGAAACGAAGTGGGGAATGACGAAGATGGACGGGGGCACGCAGGCAAGGAGGTTGACCACGGCAGAAACGGAACTGGGCACGATCCGGGACGCATTCTCCAGAACACGCTTCGTGCGGAATCGGTCTGGACTTTGCGATACTGTCCTGGGATTTGGGGCCTCGCAGAGGCCTCGTGGGGCCTCCGGGAGGCTTCTTCGCCAAGTGACCACGGGAACCGTCGTTCTTCGGGGATGGACAGACCTCCCTTTAGTAAAACGTGGTTTAGTGAAAACGACCTCGGGCCCAAACCTGGCGGGCGCAAGCCTGGAAAATAACGGCCGCGGCGCCCTCTCGAGAACCGAAAACGGACAATTCACTAATCGACGTGTCACTGTTGGGGGTTCTGTCCACCCCCGAGTTCTGTCAAAGAGGTGCTGCATGGCAGAGGACGGAGCTCAGCACGTCCCGGGACGCTTTGTCTGGAACGCATTCCGTCAGGAAGCTTCGCGGGCGTTGAGGTGAGGTCTTCGGCCTGAGGGGTTCGTGGAGGCTGCAGGGCCCTGTCGGGGCATGAGCCGAAGGCGCTCTGGGAGAGGCCCTCTGGAACACGCCGCTCGTAGGACGGTCTTGGGCCTGGAACCACTGGCGACATGACGGAGCACTGCCATACGCAACCCCCAATACACCTCCTGCCCAGGGTCCAGAAGCCCCTGGGAGGTCCACGAAGCAGTTTGGAAGAGACCCGCGGCAGGAGGCCGAGCAGGGTGTGCCTGCCAGAAGCCTGAGGCGGCCGCGGAAACATGCCTTGCACGCAGGAGAAGAGGGCGACCACCCACGTGAGAAGACGGAGACCAGTGCGTCCCAGGACGCCTTCTTCGGAATACGATCTGGGCTGTTGGACATTTTCTTCGAGGCCTCGTCGTCTCCAGGGGAATCTCTGGGAAGCCGCTTGGGGGCCCTCTTGAGGGCATGTTGGAGGGCCTCTCGGGCGCCTATTTTGGGCCTGTGGGCCTTCTTGGGGGACTATGGGACTCTCCCTCGGCGCTCGTTGGTAAACATTCTGGAGAACTCTGTGTGCCGTCCAGGCGCAGTCGGGGCCCTCAGGGGCCGTTTGGGGTCTCTCTGAGGTTTCTCTTGGGGCTCTGCGAGGGAAGCGGAGGGATGGAAGGTGTGGAAGAAAGAGGGGGAGGTTGACCACGGCAGAAACAAGACTGAACGCGTTCCTGGACAGCACGCTCCATGCGGAGTCGGCCTGGGGTTTGGGGTAACGTGCGGGGCGTTAGGGTCTGGCGGAGGCCTCGTGGGGCCTCCTGAGGGCACCTTGACCGAGTGACCACTGGAGCCGTCGTTCTGCCATGGGGGTGGACCATGGCAGAAAGCGGAAACCAGCGCGTTCCGGGCCGCATTGTCCGGAACACGCTCCACGAGAAAACTTTGCGGGCGTTGAGGTGAGGTCTTCGGCCTGAGCAGATCGTGGATGCTGCAGGGAACCGAGCGCGCTCCGGGAGAAGCCCTCTGGAACAAGCTGCGTCTGGGAGAGACTTGGGCCTGGAGCCACCGGCGACATGACGGAAAGCTGCCCGACACAACCCCAATACGCCTCCTGGCCGGTGCCCAGAACTGCTCGGGAACCCAGCGCGTTCATAGACGCACTCTCCGGAACACGCTCTGCCACGAAACGGCACGTGCCGTGCACGGAGGGCGGAGGGCGGCCGCGGGAGAAAAGACGGAGCTCTATGCATCCAGGGACGCACTCTCCGGAGCACGGGTCCTCAAGAGGTGTTGGACGCCCGAACTCGTCGGGCCTCTGGGGGGAGTCTCTGGGAAGCCGCTTGGGGGCCCTCTTGAGGGCATCTTCGAAAGCCTCTCGGGCGCCATTTGTTTGCCTCTTGGTATTCTCGTGGACGTTTGGGCTCTGTCAGGGCGCCCGTGGCCTGTCGGACGCCCTGGGGATCCTTTTGGAAGACTCCCTGTCGGGGGGACTCTCTGGGGCTCCTCTCGGGGGCTCTCCGAACCCGTTCGGGCGCCTTCTCAGCGAGATCTTCAAAAACGTATGGATCCCCGTGTTTGTCTTAGGTCTTCGGCCTCCTGGAGCTCCGCATCACCCCAGGACGGCCAGAGAGGCCCCCCAAAGCGCCCCCAGACGCCCCAAGAGGGGGCGCCCGAACAGCTCAAGAAACGCCCAAGACGGCCCAGGAGCCCCTGGGGGGGGATCCAAGAGGGGACCTCGAATTGAGATTTGGAGCCCTCCGCTCCGAGGTGGCGCCCCGAGACCGCAGGCAGGCCCCCAAGAGACCCTAAGCGGCTCCCCAAGAGGCTCGAAGTAGATGCCAAAAGACCCCCAATCGGCCCCAAGAGGCCCAGTGAGGCCCCCTGACAGGCCCCAGTAGCTCTGGCCTCGGACTCCTAAACGACATCGCGCCGAGTTGTCCCCTACCAATCGAATACCGCACGAGGAACAAATTAGCATGGCGACGGTGAGACCAATACATACATAGACAGGTACGTACGGTACATGTCCATGCATATACGTATACATGTACCTATATATACATATATATATATAGGCATATACATGTTCATTCATGTACGTATGCATGTACATACACATGGGCACACACATGTACACGTATATATGCATTACATATTCAAATAGTAGACATACACATAACTAGACATAGCCAAGTACAACCACATTGACATACACGTACACATGTACCCACATCCACATACGCATACATGTACATATTACCATCTGCATATGATCATAGACACATATACACGCAACACTATGCCCATATACATGGATATGTATATGTATATAAAACACGTACATGCACGTGTCTATATATATATATATGGATATATGTATATAGGTGTGTGTTTACATATGTGGATGCACACGTACACCTGCATACGAATTTACATTGGCATAAGCATATACATATACGGATGTCTGTTCATATACGTGTCCATATGCACATACACATACACAACACCATATACGTGCGATCGCACACGATCATTCATGCACACACCTCTATGCATACGTTTATGACAACACATGTGCATCTGCAAACACATGTGCATATACATACACATGTATGCATCGGCATACATGTATATGTACTTGTATGCATACGTATGAGAATTACACATGTCTACGCATGAGCATGCAGCCATGCAGCCCTGCATAGGCACGTGCATCAACATATGCGCAACCAGACATACATTCTCATACGCTTACATACAGGTTTGCATATACATGTGCACAACTATGCATACACATGTAACCAAACACGCAACTATTTACACACATACCTACACGTGAGCACCTAGACATGCACATACACATACGCATACACATACACATACACATACGAATGCAACATGTGCATCGCCGTGTGCACATACCTATGCATGTACATCGACAGAAGCACAGACACATATGCATGCATGTAAAACACATGTACGTATGACTATATATATATATATATTTATAAACACATGCAATTGCATGTGCATGCACATGTGCCAGTACGTGCAAAGAGTAGACACACCTATACACAGACCCACACACATTCATGTGTACATACAGGTGTCTATATACATATATGCATTTATGTGCTACACCCTCATCATAGGCCCACTGCAACTGAGCTGGGCACCTGAATGCAGCGCTTGGAGGGTACAGTCCTATAGTTGAAGTGGCAAATGCAAGACGCATAGTTGGAGGGTACGTGGGTCACGGCGGTGGAAATTCACAACTTAGAGCAAACACTGCGCGAGAATCGTACGCGACCGCCTGCTGTACCAGCCCAGCCCCCACGAGACGGATCGTGCAAGCGCGAAGAAAGATCTTGTCACGCTGGTCTGGGCAGAAACCGACACTGGCCCCCAGGTGACGGCACCACCGCACCACAGAGAAACTCTCACATCGCCCACCAAGCTCTTCCAGGAATCTCCTAAAGCGTGCTAAGTCGACTTGCTTCCACAGCCCAAGACAATTCTCCTTCCGAGGTGCAGCTCCGACTTCCCAGAGGAGCCAGGATCGGTAAACGTGGTAGCCAACAAGATTATAAGTTGGTTTGCGTACACAGGGGGACCGAACCTGGGAGAACCTGTCTCCTTAAGCCACCTGCACAGTGGGTCCAGAGGGCCGGTGTGAGAGAGAGAGAGAGAGTGTGACAGAGAGAGAAAGAGAGAGTGAGAGAAAGAGTGCGGGAAAGAGAGAGGGAGGATGAAAGGATAGAGAGAGAGAGAGAGAGCGATGAAACAAAAAAACCAGAGATCGAGAGAGAGAGAGGGAGGTAACATGGATGCGGGACAACCCTGACGGACACCACATCAAAAGCTGAATAACGCCAGTAGAACAACAGAGCTGGACGCGAGTAACCTTGTCCTTCTGGAGATTCGCGAAAACGTGGAGTTCCCACCAGAAGCTTTCATACTATCCCATACGAGCAACACCCATTTAATGATTGGGCTGGGGGAGGCAGCCTTGACGTCTAACAAAAAACAGCTAAGCAACCCCACTCCGCCCCTCCTGATGGGCGAGCACACCGTCACCCTCTCAGGCAATAGTATAGTCCAGGATGGAGTGGCCAAGAACACCACCACTATAAGACTCTGAGACAGGGCGTTTGCTGGCTTTCGTTAGAGGTCTTGCGATGGCAGATGTGATCAACTTACAGGCGGTGCATCCCATACATATATATATATATGGGGGAAGAGAGAGAGAGAGAGAGAGAGAGAGGAGAGAAGGAGAGAAACACAGGGCGACTCGAAGAGGGCGTCCAAGCAGGGACCGCAGACGCATCGGACAGGTGATCGCCTGTAGAAAGAAAGTCAGCAGAATGTCATGGAGGTCTTAAGGAAGAGGCTTGTCATGGTGCCGAGTGCAGTCATCATAGATGCCAAACATATTTATGTTTGGCCCCAGGGTGCTTCCAGTGCGTGTACGGCTAAGCATCGACCCCAGGCATAGTCCCAAGTAGCATCCATCAGCTTCGAGAAATCTTGACGGTCGGCAACCCATTCCAGACCAGGGGGAAAGACGTCAGAAGGCGGGATATAGTTCCCCAAGAAATGCCAGATCGAATATTCAGGCGGTCTGGCAACAAACGCGCCACCACAATACAGACGTTTGCGGAACACTCGTGCTCTCACAAGAAAGGTACGCAGCTGAATTGACTGGTTCAGACTGCGCCATCGCTCACGATTGCGCCGCAAACGTGTTCGCTTGTGTGCAATCTCACTCTCAGGGAGGCTACCAGCCTCCTGGATAGCCCCCCGTTCATGGTCCAGAAGTCTGGTCATTCCATTGTGCAAACATGCGCGTGCCAACATCACTATCAGAGGCGAGGACAGAATACGCACGCACTGCACGAACAACCAAGTAAGAGGCACCCGCACGGAATCCCCGGAAGGCAACCATGCTCCAATGGAGGAACTCAGGAATCGAGGCAACATCGCCTCCCGTCGTTTCTCTGCCTGGGGAAGGGGGCCGGCCGCCAGGAGAGAGAGCGAAACCGACTCGGGCCATCGTCTCCCTTCGTTCAGTGCTGTCTTGGCTCAAGGGACCCACGTCGTTTAGGTATCGTGTCATACCTTGGGCCTCCTCTCGCCGATCGGGAGGATCCAGGCAGTCCCGGAGGGCCCTCGGCGAGGCGCAGCTGCTGGAGATCATCCCAGGGCTGGCGAGCCGCCGAAGACCGACGAGAGGAAGAGCAACAGAGAGAGAGAGAGAGGAGTTCTGGGCGAAACCTTCCGGAAACCTCCCTTCTTTTAGAAGCCACCTAGACGTGATCCGAGCAGATGGGTCGGAGGATTGCGCCGCATCGCCGCTGCATCGGCGACGTCGGCGATGTATCGGCGCCGTCGGCGTGGAGAGAACCAGTCTCCACATCGAGCCGCAGCGCCGATACATCGGCGATGCCGCGGGATCCTCCGACCCCATCTGGGAGGCCCAGACCCTCTCCCCCCTCCCGTCAGGCCCGCGCGAGAAGATGCCTCGGTCACGTCTGGCCCCAAGGCTAGCGGGGGAGGCATCGGGCGCGGCCCGCCAGGCCTTGCGGGCGGCCTCGAGGCAGGCGTTGATCGTGGAGGAGGAGGTGCAGTTCACGGCCGGGATGGCGTAATTGTTGTCCTGCGAGGATGGGGGGGTGAGGGAGGAGTTACTTTGCTTTTGGTGCTGGTTGGGATGTTCTGGTGCTCGCTAAGGGCTTTTGGTACTTGGTTGGGATATTCTGGTTTGCTTTTGGTGCTAAGGGCTTTTGGTACTTGGTCCTGGGAGGATGGGGGGGAGGGACGAGGGGGGGAGGGAGGGATGGCGTAATTCTTGTCCTGCGAGGATGGGGGGGGAGAGCAGGGAGGGATCACGAGGGGCAATGTGCAGGAGGAGGACGTGCAGCTCGCAGCCGACAGAGCGTTCTCGCTGTCCTGCCTCCCTCCTCGCTGCTGCCGACCTCCTCGTCCCCCTCGTCCCCCTTTCATATAAACACTCCCTCGTCCCCCCTCGTTCCTCGTCCCCCTCGTCCCCCTCGTTCCTCTCCCCCTCGTCCCCCTCGTTCCCCCTCTTCCCCCTCGTCCCCCTCGTTCCTCTCCCCCTCGTCCGACCTCCTCGTCCCCCTCGTTCCCCTCGTTCCTCTCCCCCTCGGCCCCCTTTCATATAAAAACTCCCTTTTGTCGCACCAGCCGGAGTACTGACAGGACGTCGGACGTACTGGGCGTTTCGCCTCGTACTTCCTGCGCAGCTGGAGGGCAGATGATTTCAGAATGGGGGTCTCACCCTGGCGCCGCGCACGCCCCGTGTTAAAACCATACAGCAATTATGCGGGTGGAGGGCGCACATGCTTTGAAATGGGTCTCTCGCCTTGGCGCCAGATTCGATTGAGGTCGGTTTCTTTTCGACATGGGGCCCTCGCCTGAGACTCCTTCAACCAAACAGCATCATTCGAAGTTCAAGGATGTTGCAACATTCACACGGATGGAGGGTGGCTCCTTTTAAAATCAATGGGGCTCTCTCCCGAGTCTTCTCTACACTGCACAACCATTACCAAGATGGAGGGTGGCTCCTTCTCAGACAGGGGCTGTCGCTAGGCAATACCACGTTCCCGTAGCTCAACCAATTCCGTTTCGCTATATGCTCCTGGGGCTTGTCAAACTCCGTGTAGCTCGACGAATGTAGGGCGATTCCATTTCAAACTGGAGCTCCCGCCCAGAATGAGGAACAATCCAGATTCCAGCTGCCCTGCGCTGCAGCGTTGTTGACACATCTTGGGCTCACTCTGGGGCTCACTCTGGTCCTCCACTCTTCCTCCTCCTACTTCGACGCTGCCTCTTCCGTCCAGCGTGCTGGTTCTACGCTGCGGCGGTGGTGGAGGCGACTGCTCTTCCTCCTCCTCCTCCTCCTCCTCCTCCTCCTCCTCCTCCTCTCCCTCCCTCCTGCTATCGTCCTCTCCCTCCCTCTGACTTCTCTTTTGCTCTTGTCTGGTGCCTCGATGCTGGCTTCTCGACCCGAGTCCCAACCAGAGCGACCCGCTCCTCGCCACGCGTCCGCGCCCCCTCTGCGATCTCGAGCAGGCCTGCAGGCGCCCGACGCCTCGCCCTTTGCCGCGCAGCCTGCTCCCTCCGCGAAGGGCGGGCGAAGCGGCGCTGCCCCGCGGGCCCGCAGGCCTGCCCCGCAGCCTTCGAGCCGACCAGCCACGACGGGGGGAGCCGTGGTCCTTACTATCCCCCCCCCAGGGGGGGAACTCATCGCGTCGACGATCCCTCTCGAGAGGGGTGTCGAAACCGATGGGTCCCCCAGGGGGGGGTAAGGACCACAGCTCCCCCCGTTGTGTCTCCCCCGTCGTGACCGGTCGCCAGCGAGGCGGACGAGGGGACGAGGAGGGCGGCTCGGAAAGCGTGCGCCGTGGGGCTGGTGCGGGATGCAAGTCGTGCCGACGGCTGGAGCGCGACGGCGGCCCTTTGTCGGGCGGAGGCCGGCCAAAACTCTCGAGCCGTCTGTGGAGGCGGACGCCGAGTCTCCAGCCCTTCCTGCCGCTGCCCTCCTTCCTTCCCTCTCTCCCTGCTCTCCGCTCCCTTCCGCCATGCCGCCCTGTCCTTCTCTTCCCATCTCCCCTGCCCCATTCCCATGCACCCGCGTTCTCCTCTGAATCCTCTCGCTCTGGCACCCAACGGATGGATAGGGACCGTTGAGGCATGACAGCAGAAGACACAGCTGAACTTCTGCCACTTTCCTGTTTCTTCCCTGCCACGAAAGCAGGCGCAGGAGTGCGCCAGGCCAAGCTTTCTTTGCGTGGCAGCGCGCGAAAGGCGGTGGGGTGGGGCAATAGGGTGCGGCCTCCTAATGATGAGGCTTCCAGCAAAAAGCATTCTGCAAGGCAGAAAAAGATCACTCGCGCCACACCCTTCTGCGACCGGTTGACGGAAAATGGGGCCCTGCGGCCGCCGACTCCCCTCCGGCTCCTCCCGCTCCTTGCACTCCAGCAGTCCCCTGGCCCTGAACCCTCAGCAGCGGGGCCGTGTTTCTGAGTAGCGTCGCACCGATTCACATTACATGTATCACGTCCTTGTTCTGAGGCTGTGGGTGCTGCTGGCCGTCCGCATAATATCGGTCATAGCTGGCTCCTGCAACTCTCGCAGGGCCAACACTGTGGACAGGATCGGCGAGATCGTGCGCCGCACGAGCAACCTCGACACCCTGTGCCTCGTGGGCACGAAGGTCAATACTACACTTACAGTGGGCACCACGGTACGGCGCAGCACCGATTCTGTCCCTGGGGGTGCATGGTGTATAGAATTGTACTTGGAGCAGGTAGGTAGTTGTGATTGAAAGTTCGTATGCTGGGTGCTCTGTGGTCCGGGGACGCCGATTCAAAAAACGAGACTTTCTTCGGGTTGCTGTTCCTCCTGCTCACCTTCAGGGACGTGGACTTGTCTGGTTCGGGCAAAAAACAAACTGGCTGGTGTCACGAGTATCGCGCTATACTTCCTTCCTCGACCTCGGGAACTCGGAGCCCCTGCGATGCGTTGATTCAGACGGGGATGGGAGGATGGAAGGCTGACGGGCACAATGTGGTACCACCCGAGTTCGCTAGCAAGGCATACTATGCCAGCTCGTGATATTTGTGCTGCGAACTGGACCCGAGAGGGAGTGAGTACCGACTTTCTTTCGAACAACGATGGATATAGCACCATCGACGCCTGCATGTCGAGCCCTCTGGTCAGGGTGGCGTCTCACAACAACCCTCTACGGAAAGAAAGACGTGAATTGAAGAACACATCAAATCAGAAACATGCTGATCACCTCCTTCTCCTCCTCTTCCTCGTCCTTTTCCTCCTCATAGCTAAGACCTCCGTGCCCCGGGCTACCTCACCCTCCTCTCGTCATAAGGCCTGAGAATCGTCATGCTGCTATGCGCTGTGTACGGCGCGGTGAGCGTCGTGCCGATTGTCCGAGCCCTACATGAGCGCGTGAAGCACGAATCGAATGAGCTGCAGGAATTGCTATCGCGAGCGACGGCCGACGAGCTGTTCGAACAACCGAATGAGAGATTGGTCGAAGTCGGGCAGCGAGTACTCAAAGGGTCCAGGGACAAGGTTACGAGCAGTTTCATCTCGAGCGTGAGCAACTCCTGGAGCAGCGTCGCCAGCGTCGCCCACTCTTACCAAAGCCCTCCGAGAAAATTCAAAGAATCGTCCATCAGGACTCTGACTCACAACCCAAGCACGGTGGCGGGATGGGCCGACGGCTATTTGATAGCTGGCATACAGGCCGCGTCACGACGTTCGATGCTGCGCACCACTTCGACAAACTCCCAGGGAGCGGCTGGTGATGCGCCGCCGGCGTCCTCGATCACTGACATCAAACATTTATCGTTCCTTGGAAACGTTTCTCCCCACCCCCCGACTAATACACCGACTACAGACTACCGTGACACTGTATGCACGTACGGCTATGCTAGGACAGGCTACGCCGTGGCGCGAAGATTCCAATCCCACTGATCCTTCCTCGGATGCGGTGCCGAGATGGTGGAGGCTCGGGCCCATCGAGCTCGAGCTGAGGGTTCGTCGATTTCGCAGGTGGCAGAGCTTCGAACCTCCTGGGGCTCGTCGCCCAGTACTGGCCAGCGTGTTCGACAGTTTTGCTTGCCAGCGTGCTCGGTCGCTCCCCTCCTGTTTCAAGTGATGGACGCCTAGGGAACACCTTCTCGTGGGCCTAACGTTTGTTGATGGATGTTTAGAGCGTGTCATCACCCAAGGAGGGTGTTCGTCTATTGGAGTGCCTTGGTCAGCGATGCGTTCACTTGCCTGCTGTCTCGGACTTCGCCGATGATTTCATCAAGAGTGACGTCCGCCAACTTCGTTCGTCGGCTCTATCGGTATGTACCCCCTCTCCTGGGCAATCTGCTGTATCTGCGACCGTGCTTGAGGATCATGTCGGGAGTGTTTCAGAATTTACCAGTATGCTTACTAATGCGGATTGTGCTAGATGTGGTGGGTTTCCACCTGATAGGAGGACTCTGCATAATCAACATATCAATCACCATGGCTGTCGGCCTATGGCACATATTAGTACTATTACTAACAAGAAGTGATGTGTATGGCGTCTTTTGCTCATCTCGAGAATGCCCGACGTCACCTCACTCGGAATCTGGTTCGGGGTCATTGTTTCCGAGGTCGGACCGAAATATTGCCGAGGCGCGACTGCCAGCGAGCCTGACCTGCCCACTCTGCCCTTTCTCCGCAGGCATTGTGGCCGATCTCCGAATTCATCTTCGCACTCGCCTTGTGCGGTGTCCGCTGCCTCCACCACCCGAAGGCAATGATCGAGTCGAACCGCGCGTGGATGCTGCCGGCAGCGGCGGCGCCACCATCGGACGGCGGGAACCCAAAGAAGAACATGGCACGCCTGCGCGAGCAAGCACAATCCGAGGGCAAGAGTGTCGGCGGCACGCTCAAGGCGCTCGTCGCGACCCTGTGCCGTCTGGCACTCGGCAGCGTTGCCGAGTTTCGCAAACTCTGTGGCGTGGTGTTCGTTACCTTCCTGGCACCGTCCGAAGCGCCCGTGATCCTCGACGCGGCGGTGGCGGGCAAGGCTTCGTCGCTAAAAACGAGCGGATCGAGACGCCAATGAGCCCGCCGTTCGTGCAGGCGTCGGTCGCCACGAGGCAGGCCATCGGCAATGACGACGTATGCCCCGTGGCGGGCGAAGAGATGCTCAACAAGGACTGGGCATAGTTCACCATGAAGAACGATATCGACGCGGTGGCCAACAGCGTCAGCGCGTGTAGGGTCGGACCCACGCGCAGACAGGACAAGAAGAGATCGGTGCACACAATTACCTTCGCGATGGATCAACCGCATCCCTATCTCGAGTCAGCTTCAGCCAGCTACTTCCAGGCGGTAAAGGGAGTGCCCAAGTACGGAGCGGCCCCAAAGGGGTCGCTCGAGCGAGATGCGCAACGCCTCCTAGATAAGCTAGAGGGCAAGCACAGGCGAACATCTACAGAACAATCCGAACATGGGGGAGAACTCAGCCGTCATGTTAACCAATGCTGCCACTTCTGACATGAATGATGGTGGTAATGATTGTAGGGGTAGAGTGCGCCTGAATGTTGGGAATGCTGACGGCTCTAACACTGACTCGAATATCGATAGCACGACCATCTACGTATCTGTGAATGCCGGGAACACTAAGTCTTCGGGTCATGGCCAGTATGATCATGTCCGTGGCTCCTCACATGGACGTGGACACGGTGATGGCCCACCGGGCGGAGGAGAGGAGGATCCGCATGTGCGACGGCAGGCTCTGGTACGCAGCACTTGTCTTTACGTGACGCCATGCCTGTAATCAGATGAGGCACACCAGCCCCAGCACCTGGTTTCGATCCCTGGTTTTGGTCGTTCGGTCGGGCCCTCTCACCTTCCTGCAAAGATTATATTGCTCCCACCGTACTTACGGACCACATCCCAGAAATAACTTCGAGCACCCGGAAGGGTGTCGAACGAGTGTCGAAACAGTGTCGGACGAGAGTCTCCCAGGGACAATTTTTGGGTACTCTTCTGGTGCTCGAAACTCTTTCTGGTGATCAAGGCTATCAAATCGGTTGGAACATCATAATGCTAAGAATCGCCCTCCTGCCGCGCCTCCCGCCGTCCGTGATGCTGCCCGCCTTTTAGAACTCCCTGGCCGTGGTGCTCTCCCCTCCCCCCCCCGGCCTCCTCGGGAGTGGTGCCTGGGGCCTCTGTGGCTTCGCGTTCCCATCTGAGGGCAAAGCGCTGCTTGCGCTTCGGGTGGAGTTCACTCGACGAGGGCAGAACACTTGTCCCGCGCGCGCGCGAAACCCGTCGCGCGTTTTGGAGGTTGGGAGCAGATCGTGGGGGACCTGCGTGCGTGCTTTGCTGTGGGGGTTGTGTGGACGGGCCGGTGCCGCGAGACGCCCACTGGAGTGCGCCTCCACGGGGGCCGTCTCCAAGTTTTTGCGCCTCCCCGCCTACAAGGCCACCTTTTATGAAGGAAGTCGCTGACATGATGCACTTAGCTCCAACGTAACGTTCCGTCTCGCAGCTGATGGAAGCTTTGGGTCCGATGGTTGTTCGTTTTGCTGTGTTTCGCTGCTGCTGTTCGTCGTCGTCCTGTTCCTCCTTTCTCATCCTCCGCCTCCTGCTGCTCATCCTCCTACTTGTCCGCCACCTCCCCCCCTGCTCCTTGGCCCAATTCAGCAAGGCGTCGAGGCATCTGCCCGTGACAACGCCAGGGTGGACGCTCTCCGGCAGCTTCGGGAACTTTCCCACCGGCGGCCTCTCGGCATCGGCCGACGCCGTCGGCGCAACCCCCCAATCCTCCAACTGCTGCTCAACATCCTCTACACATCACCTGGGCCGATACAAGGACGAGGTAGGGGCAGGTGCTGGGTGCCATGCCCAACGTTGTGAATATATCAATACCTATACGACCACCCTGCGGGTGATAAGAAGGTTGGAAGGGGGGGGAGGGGCCCAGCAATGGGCAACAGTGGTGAATGTTGTTCTATCATCATCATCATCATCATCATCATCATCATCATCATCATCATCATCATCATCAACATCATCATCATCATAATCATCATCAACATCATCATCGGGACACCGACGGGACACGGACGGGACACCGGCGGAACACCGGCGGGACACCGCGCCGCCCCGGCCGCCCGGAAGGGAATCATTTCGTCCGGCCGCGCCTCAGCCACACGGGACACCAGCGGGACACCAGCGGGACACCGCGGGCCCCCGGCCGCCCGGAAGGGAGTCATTTGGTCCGGCCGCGCCTCAGCCACACGGGACACCAGCGGGACACCGGCGGGACACCGCGGGCCCCTGGCCGCCCGGAAGGGAGTCATTTGGTCCGGCCGCGCCTCAGCCACAGGAGACTTCCTCTCGCCCGCCCACGCAACTTCGCCTCTCCCGCACGGCACGCACGAACACGATACCGAAATCGATTTCCCGGTAGGGGGGCTCTCCGTTCCACTTCGATCTCACCCCCCAACCTCCGATTGTCTGGAAGAGCGTCTGCGGCATGGGGGGAGGAAGAGGAGGAGGAGGAGGAGGAGGAGGAGGAGGAGGAGGAGGAGGAGGAGGAGGAGGAGGAGGGATATGAGAAAGAGGGGGAGGAGGATCGCGCATGAAGCGGGGGGTGGAGAAGGATGAGCAGGCAATGCCAACTTGTTGTTGACAAAAACATGGTCGGCGCGTGACTTAAAACATGGTCCCCCTGCTCGGGCGAATCGCGGGGGGGGGGGGGCGCCCGCCAAATTGAAACACACGGCGGCGGCGCCGGTGATTAGCGTCGACGACGGGCCGACTGCACGAGGGCGACAGGCGCGACGCAAGCGGCGCCGATTCAGCGGAGGGAAGAGCAGCGCCTCCGATATGGCGGCGCGGATGCGCCGAAACGACCACAAACATGAACGAAATTGAACAATAACCGGGGGAACAGTGCACCTCGGCTAGACGGCGGTGCCGACATGGCTACACACAAGAAAGGGAAGGCGGAAGAGGCAGGCGGAAAACGGCTCGTACTTTTCGTTTTCCTCCCCCCCCCCCTCCACTACAACGCCCGACGACGACGACGACGAAGACGACGACGACGACGACGATGACAACGACGGCGACGGCGACGGCGACGGCGACGGCGACGGCGACAGCGACGGTGACGGCGACAACGACGGCGGACGACGACGCACTGCGGATGCTCCATGGGGGGGGGGAGGCGGGGGTGCTGCGCATGCCCGGTGAAGTCGTCGACGGCGACGACGAAGACGACGGCGACGGCGACGGCAACGACGACGACGCACTGCGGATGCTCCATGGGGGGCGGGCGGGGGTGCTGTGTATGCTCGCTGTGGTCGTCGTCAACGCCGACGACAACAACGACGACGACGACGAGGACGAGGACGAGGACGACGACGACGACGACGACGGACGAGGACGACGAAAACAACGTCAACAACGCGAGGACGACGGCGACGACGACGCACTGCAGATGCCCCGTGGGTGTGTGTGTGTGTGTGTGTGCTGCATAGGCCCGGGCCGCTGTAGTCGACGACGACGACGACGGCGACGGCGACGGCGACGACGCGACGGACGACGACGCAATGCGGATGCCCTATGAAGAGAAGGATGCTGCGTAGGCCCACTGTCGTCGACGTCGAAGATGACGACTGTGGTACGTCAGTAATCAGCCTGAGAGGGCGGAAACACCGCCCCGGATGTGGGCAATCGTTTTGAAGTTGCCGTGCAGGGGGTGCACGATCCCCTCGACGGCGCCCGCGACGACCCCCTAGCGCGCGCGATTAAGAAAACTGTTTCGCGCCCCGCAGGGTCACTCATCAGCCCCCGGGGGGGAACCTCCTGTGTTAGTCACAAGCTGACATTAGGGGGACGACGAGATGGAGGAGGATCTGAGGAGGAAAG